GTCTTCGATATATCTAATTGCTGAATTGAAGGCCACAGCAAGAGACTTCCTCTTTTCATGTAGAAGTTTTATAATAAATTACGCTTTATATGAATACAAAAATAGGTCTGCTAATAACGGGGGGAAATTATTACCCATGGGAATTCCGACAGATTGCTTGAAGACTTGATCTCAAAAAACTACATAGATACCGGTATTGTAAATCAGAAACTCAAGCATCTTTTGAATGTCATGTTCGGAGTACTTGGGTATACAATCAGAATGTTTTTAACAAAATAATTTTGCAAGCGAACAATGAGAAGGTATATTTACGAGGTCCATTTTTTTTTTTACTGAAAAAGTAGCTATGATGTCAAAAAGCCTGGACTTTAATTTATCATGGGGAATAGTTGTGTTGAAAAGTCGTACGTTTTGATGTTATTGATTTTTGTAAAATTTTGTGTATAATGTACATGTATAAACACAAAAAAACTTCTTTGTACAGAGAAATAAATATTTTTTATCACATCAGGTTATGATAGTTACAATATTTAAAAATTGTTTGTGGTGCAAACATTTAAAAAAACTTTCAGCTTAATGCACTGCATAATTTGTTTTCAATTTATTTTTTTTATTAATATGTAATTGTATACTTTGGATTTAAAAAAAAATCAGACATATTTTAATTTATGACAAGTATATACATGTAATCGAACATTTTTAACTGAAATTCTGTTTTATTAAAAATTTTTGAATTGAAAAAAAAAATTAAAATATGTTTTAAATTCTTATTTTTTGTTTAAAGATATATGTACTGATTCCCAAGTAATAAATAACTCATTTATGTTCATGTTAACAGGCTATAGCCTCCTGATAACAAGTGTTAACTGTAAAATATTGGCCATCTCTCAAAATATTGACCAAGTGTGAATAGGATTTTTAAAATGTTGGCATAGTGTGCGAATAAACTATACAGATTATATCTCGACATTGGATTTAACGAACGGCGTGGCCTGGAGATGATTACTAGACAAAGTATTTTTGTTTAAAAGGCTACAAACTCTTCCTGCCATATTATCGTTAATTATAAAGATTTAAGTTATAATTAGGCAAGAGCGATTACATTTTGAAAGTAATTTTGCTTTACTTCTCTCCAGATAAGGCAATATGAATCACCAAATCGTACCTTCAGGCTTCTTTACCGAAAATAGAATGACAGGAAATTTATGGGTGTTTGTTGACGAAATGCAGGTAAAGGAGATAACACATTTCTGTTCGTGCAGTCAAAACTGTTCATTAATTAATTATGTTGATGGAAATTCAATAGATAGATGAAATAGTAAAGGACACTAAAATAAAATTGAATTGAGCCCCCCCCCCCAAAAAAAAAGGTGCTTCCGAGAAAACGGGGTTTTCCAAACAAAGGTGGAATATTTAATGCAAAAAAAAATGGTCTAAGTCACGTAATGATAGTGAGTTATTAGTTTGCATAACCTGCCTATTTATAGAATATGATCAGTCAAAAGAAACATGAGATGGAATACGAAACATTCTTTAACAATCTAAACATGATCGAGAACAAAATCAAATGAAATATTTTTGAAAGCATGCCTGACAATTAAGTGCTCAACATAAAATTCTGAGTATGCTCTCTATTTTTGATTGTTTTTCAATAAAGATATTCGAAGAAATCTATCTATTGTGTCTGTTATTCGACAAAAAGCAGTATCTTTTTCTGATTTAAACGTTCCAGAGTAACTGTAAGAAGTCATGGCAAATGTCCTACAGTTAATTATCCTCTTACTCATTCAGGTGATTCCAATTGGACGCACTCCGTCTCCTTTCTCGTTTGTCGTCTATATTATATTACAAACTTGTTAGTATGAACCACTACAAACCCTATAACATCAAACTTGCCACAAAACATCTACAAGGGAGATATGAAACCCCAAAACTATAAAATAACAAAAATAAACACAAAAAATTTAGCCGATATTTATTAAGATGAATGAGATTTTACTTTTATTTTAAAAATCAATCAAATTATGACATTAAATTATATATGTACATGCGTTAGAAACCATATGATGTCCTTTGGATTATGAATATTACGTGATAGAGAGGTCCAACTAAAGAAAGAGTAAATAAAACATAGATTTAAATCCGTCTCACCCCGTATTTTTTATTAAAATTTGGGAGACCTCATAATTTTGTTGGATGATACATTCATGTACATGGTTTTAAAACTGAAATACAGTACTGTTCCGGTAAACAAAAACATTATACTAGAGCAAAGGTCGTTGCTGGAGTAACAAGCAGGTCTTCTGTCCAATTCGGCGAAGAAAATGAAGGACAATGGGGCAAATTAGAACGCTTTTCTGAAATTAAAGCATTTGACAAAAATGCGCTTTAGGGACCTTTATTTAATTACATGCCGTATATTTGTAAATATAAGCCACTTGTAACAATACTTTCGTTTGACCGAATGAAATTGGACGTCTGCAGTGACCTTTATTATCAAATTTCGTGTCAATATCTGCAAAAATATACCATTTTTGACTACTTCCAGTTTGACTGGATGTGATGTCGATCGACGAAAAGTGGGACCGGACGTCTCCAGCTACATTTTGCATCCAATTTACCTGCAAAAATATGCAATTTCTAGAGTATTTTTTTCCTGACAACCCACGGATATAACGATCCTTTAAAAATCATCAAATCAACAATATCTCCGGACCGAAAGTGACGTCAGTAAAACGCATAAGGTTCAAATGATGTTGCAGAGGTCCTGAAAGTTTACTGGAAATCCATCGAGCCGTTTTGGGGAAATCACGTGCACAAAATCGAAAACAAAACAAACAAACAAACAAACAATAAAAAAGTGAAAAAGAAACCGAAGAATAACAAGGTCTTCTGCAGAAGACGAAAGACCTTAATTAGTCCCCTACCGGTGAAACCGGAGGGGACTATAGGTTTCCTCTTAGTCTGTCCGTCCGTCTGTCTGTCTGTCCCTCTGTCTGTCTGTCAGTCTGTCCCACTTGGTTTTCCGCACTTTTTTTCCTAAACGCTAGCAGATATTGAGCTGATTTTTTGGTATGTGAGTGTACCTTGATGAGTTACAGACCAAGTTTGCATTTCGTTCCGCTTCATTGATTTTTGACGGAATTACGGCCTTTTCAATTTTTAGGGGTTTTCCGCCATTTTCTTCTAAACGCTTTCAGATATTGAGCTGATCTTTGGTATGTGACTTTACCTTGATTAGTTATAGATCAAGTTTGCATTTTGTCCCGCTTCATTGATTTTTGACGGAATTATGGCATTTTCAATTCTTAACGGGAACCAGATTACACTTGCCGGTAGGGGACTAGTATTGCTAATGCAATACTCTCAGAATGCTTGTTACTGATTTTTTCTAAGTTATCTTTCTGTATACGAAATAAACCTTAATAACATGTAAGAAAACAAAACCTACATGTATCAATGGTCGCCCGCTTGGCTTAGTGGTAGAGCGTTGTCTCCTTACGTCGAATTGATCTTTACGTCGCAGGTTCGAATCCCACTGCGGGACGTGGAGACTGATCCTTTAGATGAGACCGCATAAACGAGGTTCCGTGTCGCAGTAGGTGCTGGCACGAAAAAGATCCCTCACTGTTAATGGCCCCGAGTGCCCAATACAGGTCTAAAATTGCAGCCCATTACCGGCAAGTGGTGGCGTTTCAAAATGAGTGAAAAATTCTCGAAGGGACGTTAAACAATCAAACAAACAAATAAACATGTATCAATGTCATGTGTATTTTGAAACGATCTACCGGTTAATATGTCGAAACGTGATGAGATTTACCGGTTAGATTTTCTATTCGATTGCCATACCTAATTAAAAAATGCATACAAACACTTTTTTAAAACAAGTAGATGAAACTCATCTGTAACAACAACCTGTCGTATCATTTATAGTTAATAAAGTAACTGTAGACCATTAATACAAGAATTTATATCATTTAGTGGTGTAGTTTTACCCCTCAATAACGTTTGTTTTATTTCATTAACGGTTTCTTCAGTGCAACATAATACATCCTAGAACTGAAGTCTATCACAATGACTTTAACGAGAAACACAGAACGTCATATGAGCATGAGGAGCAGCTGGAAATACAGGAAACTGCTCTAGAAAATGTTTTAAAATCTACAATGTGCTGCAAGTAATTGATTGTGTTTTACGTCCCTTGCCACAATTTTTCACTCATATAAGTCGTCACCATAAATTGGTGAAGAGACTTCAATTTAAGTCCTTTACTCGGCATTCAGGGCCATTTAGCAGTTAGGGTTCTTTACCTTGCCAACGCGTGCCATGATGCGGGACCTCATCCGAAAGACCCTTGAGTTTCACTTCTTGTGCCGGGCGCTTGGCGAAGGAAAAGTCACTACTCACTACCTATGTTGCCGCGGCGCTTGGAATGAGAATCGAACCTGGTATCTTCCGATAACGAAGTGAATGCCCTACCACTAGGCTGCTGCTAGGAAGAAAGAGTCCTCTTGACAGCAGTAACATTAGATTGGAGTAACTTTAGACAGCAGTAACATTAGATTGCAGTATTAGATTGCAGTAACATTAGATAGCAGTAGCATTAAACAGCTGTAACATAAGATTGCAGAAAATTAGATAGCAAAAACATTTGACTATAGTAACATTAGACAGCAGTAATAATAGATTGTAGTAACATTAGATTGTAACGATAGATGAGGTAAAAATGGATAAAGAATCCTATCAATGTAGTAACAGTTCTTGGAATTCCTAGTATCATACTCAGTAATATGACACTTTTTCTTGGAATTCCTAGTATCATACTCAGTAATATGACACTTTATTTTTCCCTTTTACCGGATTTTGGAGAAAAAAAATAAAATGTGCTTCCAAGAAAAAGAAAGAAGAGCAATTACGTCACAAAGTTCTTGTATATTTAAACGGAACGACAAGATTATTAAATTCTTTTTCCTTGAATCATCGAACCCAAGACCGCATTTTTTAGAAACCAGAAAACGTTTGAGCGAAAATTTGGAGGAATTTATTAACATATATGGAATTCTGAACCTGTAGTCAATGTTGATAAAATGGTATGTACATATACTTAACTCATGAGACTTCATTTTTGGCATTTTAGAATAAACTTCAAATGTTATTTTAAAACATGAAAGTGTTATACCCCTCCATTTCAACAATTTTTAATTCCCTTTACCCGAAGGTGTTTTGTGCTAATTTTGATTAAAATTTGCCCAGTGGTACATGTACTGGAGAAGTTGAAAATGTGTGTCAGACGACACGTTCCTCAAATTCTTGTTTTGTATACCTTGGTATTATCAAATATTGGTCAATATGTTCACTCTCATGTGATTTCTAAACTGTTTTCAATATGTTTTTAAAAATGAGTACACCAAAAGTTGTTACATTAGCAATTCAAAAGATTTACCTATAGAGATCATATAAGAAAAATATCACTCTCTGGTATCTTGCACACAAATGCCTAGTAAGGTACCTCAATTTTTGGTTAGAAAACTTCTTTAAGTAGCAATACATGTACTTCAATGACAGATTCTTGGGGAAAATTATGTATTTTCGAGGAACGTGTCGTCTGACTTCGCAGACGAACAGAGAGACAAACGGACAAAGTTGAACAACGAGAGATAAGAAAAGCTCACTTGAGTTAATAGGTCTGGTGACTAAAGATTGTAATAAGATAAAAAAAATCATCTAAAGTCACCAAATACAGTTCTCTACGTGGTGCATTTATTATTACACATTGAATATTGACATTTTCCAAATATTAGTATTCGATGGTTGTAAATACACGATAAGTATATGACAACATTTTAAAGTGAAAAATATTGTTGACATTTTTAGTCCCAACCAAGAGAGTAAAAGTCTACTAAATTAATCTATTACTAACAGCGGTGAAATAAGAACAAGACGCCCATGGGCCACATCGCTCACCTGAGAACTAGCTAGGAAAAAGCATAAATCAATTCAGTATTGAAAAGTTTACATGGAGGGAGGGGGGGGGGAGAGACTTGAATTTTAAACTACCTGAAGATGCTTTCATATCATTATAACAAATGGTTTTGCTGTTCTTGAGCAAAAGATTTTTAAAAAGATGTTTTTCCTATATATTCCTTTGTAAAACTTTGATTCCTCATTGTGGCCCATTGTGAGGGATCTTTTTCGTGCCAGCACCTATCTTTTTCGTGCCAGCACCTACTGCGACACGGGACCTCGGTTTATACGGTCTCATCCGAAGGACCGGTGTCCACGTCCTACAATGGGATTCGAACCCGCGACGTAAGGATCAACCCCTTACTCCGCAACTCTAGAGCAGACGCTCTAACCACTGCGCCACGCGGGCGACCATATCAATATGACTAAATATGGCTTTGTTCTTTAGAAAAATATTTTTTCCTTTATATTCCTATGTAAAACTTTGACCCCTCATTGTGGCCCCACCCTACCCCCGGGGGTCATGATTTGAACAAACTTGAATCTATACTACCTGAAGATGCTTACATATCAATATAACTAAACAAGGCTTTGCTGTTCTTGAGAAGATTTTTAAATTTTTTTCATATATATTTCTATGTAAAACTTTGATCCCCCATTGTGGCCCCACCCTAACCTTAGGGGTATGATTTGAATAAACTTGAATCTACACTTCCTGGAGATGCTTCTTGAGAAGAAGATTTTTAAAATATACCACCAAATGTTCACTATTTCTGATTTATCTTCCCTTGAATGAGGGTATGGCCCTTTATTTTAATAATCTTGAATTCCCTTCACCCAAGGATGCTTTGTGGCAAGTTTGGTTGAAATTGATCCAGTGGTTCTGGAGAAGAAGTCGAAAATGTGAAAAGTTTACAGACGGACGGACAGACAGACGGACTACAGAAAAAATGTGATCAGAAAAGCTCACAAAAGCTCAGGTGAGCTAAAAAAATCTTTATTTTGTCAGTTTGACTAATAGAATTTTGCGCCATATCAATTTTTATGATAGAAGGCGTAGAAAATAAAATATCATCAAACAAGAACTTTTTTTTTTCATTTCAAAACCACTTTAGTCAAACTGAATTAAAATAAACCAGAAGTCTCCGACGAGACTGTAGCTCTACTGGTTTGAACTTCTAACAAAGGAAAGGAAAAGTTGCATAAAAATGTTGGACTTGAAACTTTGCAACAGCAATAAGAATAATTATCCTTAGTTTAGTGTCTTCTGGTTGCAAGATTTATTGCAAAGAGAATAAAACTGTAGGAGGGGCAGCCTTTTGAAAGAATTTTACAGAAATTTCGAATTTAGTAACCATGGCAACATCCCTCATCAAAATAAAATAAGAGGCCCAAGGGCCTTAACGGTCACCTGACTATAATACAACAATTTAGAAGGTAAATACACTGATAGATGAAGCAATGTGCCCTAAAGCAAGAGAAGTAGGAAGATCAGGATCAACAAAATAATTAGTCTAGTATTCAGTATCAACTCATAAATGAAGTTCTAATCTCTCCCCCACTTAACACTATCATGCAGACTATTAACAAACTATTAGTGCTTCTATATTTTTAAACCCATATTAAGACCTCTAGCATTGACCTCTCTTATGGTCTTTGAAGAACTTTTAATAAGATAAGTTATTTTTGTCTCATTTTATTTATCTATTACTTACAGGTCTACCTGATTATTAAAACTAAGAAAGTACTTTTTTAATTATATACGATAAACATTCTTGCATAATTATCTTATTCTATTAACCTTTCAAATACATTATTTACAGTGATTAATTATCAAAGGTGAATGGAAAAGGGGAATAACTTCTCTCAGTAGAATACAAATTAATAGAGCCCTGCCCAGGACCAGAATGCTTAGACGAATGGTCCAGATGTTTAAAAATCTGGTAGAAATGCGCTTACTCATATCATTTAAACTTTTACTCAGTTTGCTTCCGATATGCCCAGAAGCAGAGAAGAATTTCACAGGTACAATGTATTTTCACTACAGATTCAACAAAGCCTTACCCTAACACCAGAACCCAAGACCAAGGGTCAAGAAATTTATAAATTTGGAAGAGTTAGCCTCATCATCATAACTATGGACTTCAAAGAATTAACACTTTTCCACTATATTATCATAAGCCTGACCCTAGGACCACAAGATTTAAAAATTCTGTTCAAAGCTCCCATTTTCATCATAGCTAAGCAATTTATTTATCAGCTCAACACTAAGGAGCAGACAGGATTAATTAATGATTAATTAATAAAATTAATGTTTTTTCACTATATAATCAATAGAGCCCCCCCCCCCCTCCTCAAGAACCCCAAAAACTGAGGCCATATATTTAAAAAATTTGGAAGAGGCATCCTTGTCTATCATAATCATGCACTTAGTTTGTTTAAATAATCTCCAGTAGCAGAGAAGAAGATTTTCAAAGAATCGATGCATTTTCACTATATTATCAATAGAGCCCCGCCCTAACACCAGAACCCCTGACCCTGGGGCCATGAAATTCACAATTTTTGAAAAGGCATCCTTATGCATCATAACCATGCACTTAGTTTGTTTAAATAGTCTCCAGTAGCAGAGAAGAAGATTTTCAAAGAATCAATGCATTTTCACTATATAATCAACAGAGCCCCGCCCTAACACCAGAACCCCTGACCCTGGGGCCATGAAATTCACAATTTTTGAAAAGGCATCCTTATGCATCATAACCATGCACTTAGTTTGCTTAAATAATACCCAGGAGCAGAGAAGAAGATTTTCAAAGAATTAAAGCATTTTCACTATATAATCAATAGAGCCCCGCCCTAACACCAGAACCCCTGACCCAGGGACCATGGCTTTCACAATTCTGAAAGAGGCCCACCTCCTCATCATAACTATGTACTTAGTTTATCACCTTAATGCCCAGGGGCAGAAGAGAAGATTTTCAAAGAATTAATGCATTTCCACTATATAATCAATAGAGCCCCGCCCTAACACCAGAACCCCTGACCCTGGGGCCATGAATTTCACAATTTTCGAAGAGGCACTCTAGCTCATCATAACTATGTACTTAGTAACTTTATTTAATACCCAGGAGCAGAGAAGAAGATTTTCAAAGAAATAATGCACTTTCACTATATGATCTATATAGCCCCACCCTGGGGCCAGAACCCCTGACCCTGGGGCCATGAATTTCACAATTTTGGTAGAGGGCTCAATGCTTATTACAATGATGCCAACAGTTTGACTGCTTGATGTCCAGGAGTAAAGAAGATTTTTTTTTGGTGGTTTAAGCCCCACCCCTCAGGCCCCAGGGGAGCAGGGACCATGAAATTCACAATTTTTGTTCCCCTTCACCCATAGATGCTATATACCAAATTTGGTTGAAATTGGTTGAGCGGTTCTAGAGAAGAAGTTAAAAATGTTCAAAAGTTAACGCACGACGGACGACGCACGACGACGGACGAAAACAGATAGCAATAGGTCACCTGAGTGACTCAGGTGACCTAAAAAAAAAAATAAAGACAATTGTGAATCTCATTGTAGTATACTTGCATGCCATGTTATATTAAAATCAGACCAAACTGTAGAAAGAGTGGTGTTTTGAAAGTATTTCACAGAAATTTCTTTTTTTAGTAACCATGGCAACATCGTTCATCGAAATCAGATACCCTTAAACAGAATTTGTATTCAAGAGTTGTCTACTTTTTGAAATCAGACCAAAACTGTAGGAAAAGTAGCGTTTTGAATGTATTTTAACAGAAATTCCAATTTTTGGTAAACACCGTTCATCGAAATAAAGAATTATGTTTCTTAGAGTTTTCTATTTGTAATCCAAGTTATATTGAAATTAGACCAAAAGTGTAGGAGGAGTAGCGTTTTGAAAGTTATCCAGAGAAAATTCTATTTTTAGTAATCTTGGCAACACCGTTCATCGAAATCATAAACCGATAGCAGAATTATGTACCTAAGTGTAGATTACCGGTACTTGTGTGCCAAGTTATATTGAAATCAGGCCAAAACTGTAGGAGGAGTAGCGTTTTGAAAGTATTTCACAGAAATTCTATTTTTAGTAACCATGGCAACACCATTCAA